CCCTTGATGTATGAACACGCCCCAGATCAGGACGCGCTCGAGCATGCCCCACGACTTGTCCCACTTACTCTGTGCGTGCTCATCTGAGGCACCCCAAGTCTGTGCCTATCACCATTCACCATGAAGTGACCGTGATCTATCGGTCAGATTTGTTTATCAGGCATAAACAATTATGGTATTTAGGCCAGTCTCCACTTTCGTCATTTACGACTCTCTTCAGTTATTCCCTTTGCAGTTTATTTCTGTTGCAAGCCAGTAATACGTGCATGACTGTTTTGCTACTTCCACCACATTCACAATTCGAACTTGGCACCAGCTTGAATTGGTGAAGTTTTACTCTGAAACCTCAATGGCCAGTGAGCAGCTGGCTGAGGTAGTGGTTTTGGTCCAGAGGGAGTCCGTATATTAACTTTACACTGGGACGAAGCTTATGTGTCCAGTCACCCTTGCTTTCCATAGACCATCTGACTTGCCATGTTTGTATAATCGCGTTTGTCTCAATGTTATGCTGTTCTGGAAAGATATTTCCGTTTCTAAGCTCTATATTCGTAGAATACTTTTATGGGTAAGAGCACCGCTATCACCTGTAGTTATGGCGTTGATACAGTTTAATATAGGCACCTGTTGATGGGAGTAAGGCAGTGGTGTGTCCAGCGGGTAGGCCTGGTAGGCCCGGGCCTACCCTGATTTTTAACCTTTAAGTATACCCAAAATATGCATTTTAAAATTATATATAATAAGCACACGATGTATCGATCATATTTTTTGTTGTAAACAAAATAAATATTTGTCTATAAATAAAATTAATAATCGTAAAATTTATCGTCAATTCTCAAGCGCTTCTTGGAAATACCCCATATTTCTATATAGATATTACACGACCCGACGACCGTCGTCGTTTGGTGGGGGATAACCGCAGTAGTGTTGAGCGTCAAAAACTATGACATGGCTATTAGATAACAAATATTATACGTCATACTTATGACTTAAACAGTATAATAAAATTTTTCTTAAACTCAAAATGTGTTGACTATACAAGTTATTTTTATAACCAGGCCTGTCCTGAATTTTGGTCCTAGACACGCCTCGGGAGTAAGGCCTATCTTTGATTCATGTTTAGATTTTCGATTGATTTGCTGAGTTCTGTTCCTGATGCCCTGATTTCGGCCTCATGCGTGATCCGCGGCAAGAAGACTGCTTTATATATGACCATGGACGTGGCCTGACTCACGCCCCAGTTCCCCGACGTCATGGGCCTAAGACGCCCGAACAATGTAGTGTTTTTTGAGCCAAGTTTTTCTATATGTGTCCAGAATGATCTTCTAAGGTCAATTGTCAATTACCTACTGTCTCCTTTCTTGCACCGCATACTGCGCATTGACTATGTCGTCTGCATATGCGACTGTCTTACTGTCACTATCTAAGGTATGCTCATAGGCCATAGCTAAACATACTTGGCATATTTTAGCCAAAGGCATACCCGCCTTGGATACCATATTATTTCATATTTATATGCTCATACATATGAACAGTTATATTGAATACTTTCTCAAAGTATCTCAGAATATCTTATTAGGTAGTTTATTATATTTTTCATTTTAGTTTTTATCACGTAAAAGAAAAATACAAATCGAGAATATAATGTATAATAATACGGATTCTAATAACATAGAATTTAAAATCCGAATCTACTATTAGCTCCATTTCAATACACGAATGTTCTAATAACAAGAACTGTAACTCAATTAACTGTAAGCAAATTAATAAAGTTATAAAAATAAGATATTTAGGATTAATTATTGATAATCACTTGGAATGGAACTTACATGTTAACAATCTATTAGGGAAACTACGCTTCATAACCTATAATATGTTCAAACTAAAAAAAATAGTTCCAAAGCAAACAATGAGATTAGTTTATTTTGCTCCATACCAATCCAATTTCCAGTACGATTTATTAGTATGGGGTGGCCTTCGAGACAATATTATAAATCACCTAATAATAAATCAAAATAACATTGTTAGAATTTGCCTAAATAAGCTTTCACTAAAAGGATCAACAATTGAAAATTATAAGGAATTAGGGGTCTTGCCAGTAAGACAATTATATAAAAAAATAGCAATTATGTTCATTATTAAATAACTTGATATTGATCAGTTACATAGTGATAATAGTCATATAAGAGAAATAAGAAAATATGATTGTCCAGTTAAATATACCTATAAATCTTTTGGTCAAACATTTGTAGATTATCTAGACCCGACTTATTACAATTATATGCCTCTGGACTTTAAAGAAATATTATTACAAGTAAAAAAATTAATAATAAAGGATTATTATATCAATATATATTTTTAGAATTGAATAATGTGTATTAATTTTATTCTTTATTGTAAATTATTGCTAAATTGTATGTTATTTATATATATAACAGTATATTTTGATTGCTATAATGCTGTATCAACTAAATGTATTACTAATTTATTTGTGTTAAAACTTTACATCACTTTGTCTTTTCTTCTCTATTATTATATTATATTTTTTAAAGTGTTCATAGTCATAAGTCAATGTACGTAATATTATAAGAAATTACCTAATTATTTTATTATTTATTTTATTTTATTGGTAAATGTAATAACTCCCTATCACCAACACAAGCTATTAGCTTACAGGAGGTAGGTAATCAAAACTGTACCTATTTGTTAAATTTGTAACCATTTATTTTGATTTCTAATAAAAAAAAAAAAAATTTTTTTTACCAACCAAAATCATAATCGACCGAAAATTCAAATAGGTATCTGGTATAGGTACTTCGACAAAACAATAGATGAGTACCTATTTCCAAGTTCCACCAAATGATTTATGAAAAAATGTTACATAAAATTAACATAAAATATGAAAATGGGTTCAGTTAATTTATAAGGTGATAATTATTACAATTATTTACATGTTTTAGACTTTATAGGAAAACATTCAATGACATTATCCATTATTACTCATAAGTCATAATAACTAATAAGGTATAAGGATTAGTAGATTTTGAGAAATAGACCAAACCAATAAACAGCTTAATATATCATGTTATTGAGCAGATATATGTTTTTTGATTAGTTTAGTAGGTGCTAGTAGGTATAGCATACTGTAGTAGGCATAGCCGCATAGGCGCAAATATGGTGGGGCTTGTTGGGGGGTGCTAAGCCCCAGAAAGTGAATTCTGTCCCCCGGGTTTATTATCGTATTTAAGTAATTTTTGTAAAGAAAAAAAAATTTAAATATGACCTACCACATAGTAAGTGCATACTGCATAATACATAGAAATAAATTTTAAAAAAAATCAAGGGTATACACGTATTTTATAAAAATTGTTCAGTGATTTTGAACGTTTTCTACAGCGTACCTATACATAATTACATATAGACGATAAACATACAATTGTCAGAAATAATATTAATAGTTTTAGTTTTATGTTTAGCACGATAATGTAGACAATAGATATCAATTTCATTTTAGTAGTTTGGCCAGTTTGGGCTTACTTAGTACCTATAGAAAAAGACATAAATATTGATGTGAAATCGGCCTTAAATGATTTTGCAAAAACTCACAGAAGAATTAATTTAATTTTGTAAATATTAATCAAAATAAAATTGTGTACATTTATTATCTTATATGATTGTGATTTTACCTTTGAATCTTTATATAGTTTAAGCACTCTCTCAAAATCTTTAAAAAATCGATAGATTTGTCACCTAACTTCATCTTGAGTATGCTAGCTTCAAAATTAAAATTATAATTAAATATAAATAAAAAGTAATATTACTATCATTTTTGGTTATACCTAAACATATAAAAATTGTAGTATACTAAAAAAAAGTATTTTGAATACTTTTGAAAGACAGTATTTGAATACATATTTCAAGTAAAAATGATTCCCAAGTATTTAAATACGTATTCTGAATACATTTGAAAAACAATTTATAACAACACTGATTGCAAGCCGCAAGGTAGTGTCTAACGCGGCCTCGGGCCTTTTTTTAATCTACTTCTACACAGCTGATAGCCCAACCAACAGTGTTTCAATGAATGTTATGTTTGCTAACGATACTATAAGTTGTAATAGTTGCATAAATATGTAGTTATAAATTAATATGAAATAACTTGGTACATATTTTTCAGTTTTAAAAACCGTCTCTCAAACACTTAAAATAAAATAGGTTCTATAAATCTTTGTTATAATTTATTAATTTAATGGACCTCTGCCATTATTCTATTACGTATGTATTTAAAATCGCAGGTAGTCGCACATTTTTGTACACCTTGTATTCAACGATAGCCTAAAAATGTACCTACAAAGTTGTAATTTTCAAGGTCCTTGTCTTATTGTTAGTTTAGTGTTCAGGTATACATGTTAAAACATTTTTTAATGATGGAAAAAATAAAATATGTTTGAATATATTACTAGATTGATGTATTATCTAGATTATTTACATGAAATTACTTTCACATTCTCAGTAGTTTCAAATTGTTCAACTTACAACAATAATATATAGGTATAGAAAATTCATAGTATTCAATTAATTTCCCATAAGGGAATGTTGGCAATAGTTGAAGTGTTTGATATTTTGGCATTACTAAGTAGGTTACTTATACAACCAAATTAATACAATTTAAATAAAAATAACATATAATTATTAATTAGTAGTTGTAAATATAATGTTCATGTTGATTATGGGTTCTATCCAGTATTTATAAATATAGCATTTAAAAATTAAAATTTGTCGACTGTAAAATCAACAAAAATGTTCAACGACAACTATTATGTAAAATGTAATTGGAAATTAAAACATTATAATATATTAATAATATTTTATTATCTACTCATAATGATAATTTCACTTAAATGTATTCAATTATCATATTGTTTGCTTTTAAGTAAATGATCTACAAAAATTATAATTATAATATAATAATAATGTTTATATTACGGTTAAAAAAAAAAAAATCATATGCCAAGTGGGAAGGGAAAAAATGCACAAGCTGTAACAATGTTATAATAATTAATTTGGGAGCTGATAAGGGTGATATACATAAACAATAAAAAAAACATTAGTTACACGCAATTATTGACATAGCTTCCGCAGCAAAATATTTGACATCTACATCTGTGTCTGTATTTAATTTATCCAAAACGGGTTTTATTTGAGATTTCACCGCAGCACTAAAAATAACAAATATTTCTTTTAGATGTATACTTTTATATTTCATTAATTTATAATTTATCTGAATAGAAATACATACGATTGTGCAACAATTGGTCCAATTTTTTGAAGTGTCTTGGCTACATTAAAACGCACATTAGCCACACTATCACTTGCCATAGATAATACAGTTGGTAACATGGTCTTAGCAGTTATTTCTGGACCACATACTTCAGCGAGCTCCTACAAATCAATATAAATATTTTTGTGTGTAAGGAGAAATCATTTAAGTACACAATTGAGTTTATTTACATTAATGCAAAATAAGAATGTCATTCGGTGTAAATAATTTGGATCTCTAGCCATAACTATGACTTTTGGTATAACAGATGTTTGGGCCCATTCTGCTCCAAATTTCTCCACTAGCTTTTTCAAGTTTAATGTAGCAGCTTCTCGTATAGCATACACTAAATATAAAAACAGTTAAACAATATTTTAATAGGAAAAGGGAAAATTCCAAAAGCAGGATAATAAATGTTTAATAAAAAATCTTTTCCAAACAAGAACATAACAATTATGACTAGCTATTATAGATAACCAATATTGGTCCTACAGATACAAGTATATGTTTTTACAGTATTTGTTGCTACTTTCACCAGTTTAATGAGGAATTATTATGTCATTGGCATAAGAGCAATATTTTGAAGTTTGGAACCACATCCCAGTGACATCATATATTTTATGGCTTGTAAAATTAAGCATTATATATATTATGCATAAAATATGTACAGATAATGTAAATTTGATTGTCCAAAACATTAAATTTAATAATCCTTTATTATTGTACCATAATATAGATTTTAGCTATCAACACTCAATCTGAATTACTGGATTTAGTGATAAAATATAATTACATCATGGTTTATGAAAATATATACTCTATTAATTGTATTAATCCACTGATAACGGATCAGATCACTAAATTTAATCATTTACACATTCAGAGAAAGTGTACATGTATATTATGTGTATGTTAGAAAGAGTAATTTTAAAAGCTATAATAAAGTTTATAATGGGAAATGGTTCAAAGGACAGCAAATTTTCTAATAAAACAAATACAATATGTAAATTCTTATACTACATAGGTTGAACTAGTAACAAAAGGTGAACAGTGGTTGTTTACTTGAGCTTCCACTCGCTAACAGGATGTTTTCAGAAGGCGGAGTTCTCATTAATCTAATTTTCATGGTCACAATATAATTATTATCAATGATTATAAAGACTTATAAACAATAATATATCAATCACCATATAGATTACAAGCTTATCATACACACATGATATTTTATTGTTTTCATTAATTTTATTTTATTCTTATCAAGCGACTAAACTTATATGATATTCAAATTAGAAAATGTATATTATAAGTATGAATTTATCACCCTTACACAAATTCAAGATGTTTTGATCAGTTTATATATCAATCAGATGGTAAATGGACATTTCCCCCCTCCACCGACTGTTTTTGGTCTAGTAGGACATTCCCCCCACCCATTTTAATATTATAAATGTATATATTTGATCAACTAGACTACTTGAAACAATAAATATAAAATAAAATTTAATTAATAATTAATAAAAATGGCTAAAAATTCAGAAATAAACACATATCTTATAGCCTTTGTTCATATTTATATATTTTTTTGGTTAAAACTGTACCAGTTTGGATATTTAATTGCTTGTGAAAACTGATTCAAGTAGTTCAGTTGATAAAAAATACACACATCTATAATTTATTATATTTATGAAAATATTAGACAATACTACCTACAATAGGCAAAAAAATAATTTCATATTTAATAGTAATATATTATTAACCTTTTAAAAATATGGGGGGAAGAGGTCCGTATCAAAAATATATCAGGGGGAAGTGTCCTACTTACAACCGAAAATAGCCGGGGGGGGGGAAATCCAATCAGATATCAGAAAAAGTGGTATCGGTCAATATTGTAAATTATTTTGTAGACATATCCGCTGACATTTCTGCTAAGAAAGGTTTTTAGTCATATGCAATGACGTATAATTTAATTTTAATTTAACACATCCGTAATGGTCACTGTAAAAGTGATCTACTAGACGACAATGTACACCCGACACCTACTATACTTGAGTATACTCTATTCAAGTTAAGAAACACAGTTGGCGGCCAACTTGCGAGCAGAGGCATGGCAATACTACACGAAGGTATAAAGATAGTTGACTTGGTGAGGGTAACAAATGGATGTTGTTTGACTGTATTCCTTAACTTTAATAAAGTATATACAGCAAAGCAACTACCCCTTTATATATATATTATGAAGTAAGAGTAATTCAAATTGTGCAATATAGAAAATGGGTTGGTATTGAGTATTTTAAATAGATATAATGCAAGCAGTTGTTAAAAAAAGATCAAGATTGACTGGAGCAATTATGTTTAGCCGTATTAATTTAAATAACATGAACGAATGAGAGACACTGGTATAATTTTACAAATAGTTGAATCCTTATTTCAAGGCTAGAATAATCTAAGAGAAGATTTAAATAGAATTAGAATTTAGATGAAGTGTAAGTTAGTTTGGATAAAGTAAATAATCAAAATTATGAACAAAATCAAGGGTTAACAAATCTGTTGCTTGACATAGCGAGATGAAAGGACATAACACTAAAATAATATAATATCTAAAAGTAAGTTATTGTGAGTCTTGGTAGATATTGACCGGTAAATTACCTGACATCTACCAATATAATAGATAATTAGCTATTATAGTATTGTATGACTGTTATAATATGTTGTTTATCTAAATAAATAACTCAAATCACAGGTACTTTGCCTTAATAAAATTAAATACAATATTAATATAACACATATAAAACTAGGTATATCATATTTTCTGGTAAGTAGCATACTGGAATGCGCACAGTTTTTTGGTAGGTAGCATACTACACAAGTACTTTTACTACTTAATGTTAATCATATTATAAAAGCTTTACAATTTTTTTTAAATAATAATTTTTACCATGATCAGTAAGCCAAGTCATACACAAACTATTGAGTTTATCATCAAAGAACTGTACACCTAGTTGACTTGCTAATAACGGCATATATTCAATTATTGCTAAACGAACCCGCCATTTAGGATCCTCAGCAAGTTCAACAATAGCAGGTAAAAGTGTTTCAGAGAGCTAAAATATTAAATTTAAAAAAAACTAAATAAAAAATCATTAAGAATTTTAAAATAAAAATAAATGTATTACCCGTTGAATTCCAATTACTTCATTAACACAATCCAAATTTGAAATTATGTTAAGACGTACTTCAGGGCATTCGTCTTTTAACTGAGTCAAAAATAGTGGTAACAAATGGTCAAGAGTTCTAAAATAAGATAAACTTTACTTCAAAAAATGTATTAAATTGATTATGACAATGTAAATTATATGTAAGTATATAATATATTATATACTATATTATAGTATTACCTTTGTTTTCCAAGAATTGGAGATAAGCCCATTATTACAGATGCTAAAGCTGATTTGACATGTTGATTAGTGTCTGCAACTAGTCCTTTAACGACAGGTAAAATTGATGTCATAATAATGGAATCAACTGCATTTGAAGTTTGTGCAGCATTTGGATCATTTAATAAAGCACCAGAAGCAACAGGAGGACAAAGATTACGACAAAAATCACACACTTTATTGGCCGCTGCCGCTCTCACTTCAGCCTCAGTGTCACGTAACAATGATTGAAAAGTCGGTACCAAGTCAATACGAGTAATTTCTGGTCCAACAGCCTTTTGTAACTACATTATATAACAATAACTTAATTAGTTGTTTATTGTGGGTTTTCAATCGTATCTATTATTACAAGTGATACATTTTGTTTATCAATGAATTTAGATCATATAAAAAAATATTTGTTATTTTTGGAAATGAGTGTATGAAAAACATAATAGACTTGGCAAAATTGATTAAAACAAAATTAAATAATATAACTTTGGAGGCCACTAAAAAAGAAATAACCAAGGCTTAACGAGTTAAAAAGTTTATTGAATTTAAACTTTTTAACTTTCTTGTTACTTTTGGATTTTCATTAACTTACTAAATTTCTTTTTTAATTAACGTGAAATTAACGAATTAATTTTTTATTTCAAGAAGTATGTTTAGTTAATTTATTTTGTTTTTAGTTTTATTACACATCACTATTTCAGTCTATTTTGTTTTCATGTCAAAAATTATTTAAAGTTAAAATTTTTATATTTTTCCAATCTAATTTATATGAAAATACTGTATAATATATTTAGTTTTGGATTGAAAAAAATTAAGTGCGCTAGTGTTGTATAAAAATATTAACTTTTTTGTTATTGGTGCATATTAATTGAACTTAACTGGGTTAAAAAAAAATCATTAACTTGCCCAGTTTTGGAAATAACACCATTAGATAACATAGATTGACTGACAATCATTCAGAATTGTAACTTATTTGTAAGTAACCTAATGCTATTGCAATACTTAAAGCACAAAATTACTAATCATTTTATGATTTTGTAGTTATAATGTTATTTGTTTTATAATTGTATTATATACATGTATTTTATAACAATGTGATCAACATATAATAGATAATAGAGTAGTTCTGACCAAATACAAACTGAAAATATTTAAACCTTCAAGTAATATAATATATGAAATTCTAGTAGTTGTGATACAACAATATCAATACAACTACCATTTATACAAATACCTCAGTAAATTTATCAGCCACCATATATCGCACTCTCCAAGAACTATCTGAGGTACATAAGCGCAAAGTTGGCATCACTAAATCATTCACATCTTCATGTGTAAGCAATGAGGCTATACTAACACAAGCTTCAATAGCCAGAAGACGAACAGAATCCTGAATAATAAAAATATTTTAAAAAAATGTAAGACATATGATTCCATAAAAGCTGAATAAATAAGCACCTGTTCATCTTGAGCAAGCGATGAAAACATAGGTATAAGATCATTTTTTAAGGAATCCAATTCAACAACTTTTGCAAATTCACCCAATTTTCCTGCAGCGGCCCTCCGCACCATAGGAGTATCATCCTGACACAAATTACGGAAGAAGTTGCGTAATTCAGCTATTGTGAAAAAAATTATTAACAAAACATTAAATTTAAAAGGTGTAACCTTGTGAATTTTTTAAGCAATACATTTTATTTTAATAGAAAAAAATAAACTTACATTTGATCATTGGATTGACACGAGAATAGCAAACCGAAAATAAACCACAAGCAGATGTACGTGATGTAAACCAGTCACCAGACGCCAGACGAATAACAAGACTAACAAAGTGATTTTCAAGATCAGTTGGAGAGTGCAACACTGCTATTTGACGTAGTGACTCAACTGCCTTATCTCTAACAACTGTTTCTTCAACCGTGGCCAATGATTCCAAGGGAGGCTACAGAATACATGTCATAATTAATTTACAAACAAATTTAAGCCTTAACTAAAAAATGTTGTTTTTAAATAAATTACCAATAGTGTATATGCAAAGTCTGGTCCTCCGACATAATTGGTAAAATTTCCCAATTGCTCAGCCAATGCTAACAATACTTCATCTTCATCATAAATAGTTTCAGTTAAAAATGGAATAAGCTCTACTCGAGTACGCTCAACACCAAGTGCCAAAGCAATTGTAGACAGTTTCTTGATAGAATTCAAACGCAACTGTTAAATAATAAAATTAATTAATTCACAATATTTCTAATACTATTATAAAATAAATGAATCTTTAATCCTGAATCAGTCAATACATTTTTTTTTAGATTTAATAACAAGGTTCATATATGGTCGTAGTACCTCCGCTGGGAGGCCTCTACATTCCATCTAATCTGTCTTTTTATTTTTATTATTTTACCTTAACCATCAATTGTTCTTATTGATTTGCTTTTTGTACAGATTGAATAAAAACAAGATGAAATCAAAAAAAAAGATTGATTTATTCTGGTTCCATAGAATAGGTTACATTTTATTAAAGTATTTGGATAATTAAATCAAACTATATCAGTGGGTAACAGCGTAATGTGATCACATTGGTTCAGCCATTTGATTCATAAAGCATATTTTTTATCAATATAATATTTGGTTTGGGATTTTTATTTTTGATTCCAATAAACGGTTGATTCTATAAACCAATGATCAAATTAAGCTGAACTCACTGTAATACTAACCAAATATTAATGTTTATTGAACGACCCAAATACTTAGGTATAATTTAGTTAATTAGTAATATTCAAATATATAATGCAAACAGGGATATTAAAATAATTCTCAGCTAACTTTGTTGACTGATTTTCCATTTAAGTGCTAGTTTATATAAAAATATATTTAATTATGTAGGTACATGTTAAACTCAATTGAATAATAATTATAGTGTGCCAATAATGATTATCTATTTGAGTTTACAAAATAGCAATTTTAAATAGAAGCGCATATAACTTGCTTCAAAGTCTATCAGAATAGTTGTTTCAATATGTTCAAAGAAAAATAAGAAAAATATTTATTCCTCGAGGTGACACATATAAATGTATTATAATTGGAAAGCAAAATAGTAAATGCTATAGCATATCTGTAGGAAATTCAATTAGGTACATTAAATAGGCATTAAAATAATTATAATAAAAAAAAAATATCATGTACTTATATTACCTAGTCGATAATAGATATATTAATACCTAGTTAAACATTTTCTAATTAAAATATTAAAAACCATAGAACATAGTATCATCTGCTACGAAATGTAAGAAATTAGGTTGTCTATTGTTAAAAAATCACATTATCTTAAATGATTTTGAGGGTAAGTAAAATTTATTTTACTGTTGTAATGTAGAAAAAAACAAAAAGGTGTAGTTTTTTTTTTAAAGTAACATGTAGATATAGAAAATATTGTTTTGTAAGAATTTGAATAGATTCAATATACGCCCAATATCCATTTACTATAGGTAGGTATAATACACAGTTTTACAATGAAATAATTAATGAGCTAAAAAACATACACCAATATATTTCTTAAACAAATATCATGAATAGCAAAAATATTATACCAAAAAGTAATAAAATAATAATTATTACCTATTCCTATGTTTAACAAATATACTACAATGGTTACAGATTACTTTTATTGAGAACTAAAATATTAACTTATTGCATAGATAGTTTTCATAATCTCTCCAAAACCAATCAATTTATCGAATACCTGAGACTGGACCTCAGACAAATTTAAATTTTGGGGACATTCTGTCCATGGATATAAAACCGATATTTGTTTTAAACCGTAATTTGGGTTTAAACCAATGCTGGAATAGTCAGTATACGATCAACAGAAGTAAAGCAAAACAAGAGGTATTGACACTACCTATCTAGAATTCAATACAGGGAGAGGTGATGAAACTACGTACCTCTCCTTTTTAAAATTATTTAAGTGTACCCCTTCAAATTATATTGTAACATAAGAAATTTTAATTTTAAGTTACGTAAAATTTTTAGCACTTTTGAATCCACTTTCTAATTTTTTTTAACCATTTAATCACTGCCTATGTTGCATTTCGAAATTTACAAGTTTACCTGTAACGTCTTCATTCTTCAATTCATCTATGAGCACAGCGATCGGATACAGCGATGTGTCTTCGGGCGCGGGCTCACCGGACGGCAATGTAGTCGCAGCCATTTGTCGTCTGTACAGTATTTACCAATTGTTGACCCGTCAACAGGACCAATTTATATTTAATTGTCTATTCGAATAGCTAAAATTAAAAAAATAATAAAATTTCACCGTACACGAGAATCAAAACAAACGGATACAGGGAGGACGTCCATTTTGATTAAATATTTTCATGGAATGACATCGCCTTCTGCTGAGTTCTGGTTCGCCTGGTTGAGGTTATTTGTCATGGTAGAAACGGCGACGGACTAGCACGGACTTAGGTCTCTCGATGAATGCGGTGGGGGAGAGGGATCAATAACAATAAACAGCCGCGCAAGGCGTCAACTACAATGGCACTGGCAAGCTAGATCATATACTAGTAATGATCTAAGCTGGCAAGGCAAGGCTGCTATCAGGGACAGAGTAATCCATGACAAAATAGATACTAGATACTAGATAGGTATCATCACTACATAATATATATATACTTGTCTATCAGCAGTGCATCACTATCTGACTATCATCATTCATCACAGTTAACACAATTTTTTTTTAGTTTGCGCCTTTACGGCATGCGCATTTCCTTCACATCCTGCCAAAGTCGTAGTTCTCCATTTCTTAATATAAAGTAACAACTTTTAAACTTATTTATGACGTCTAGACAGACAATTTACGTAAAAATTAATACATTTTCCAGGCTTATCTTTAAAGATTAAAGAAACTAAATTTAAAAAAATAACAAAATGCATTCCAATGCTCATGTTTAAAAAATTTGGGTCTTTTAGACATAGTCCAAAGCAACAAGCATCAAATAAATTTTCAGTTGACAATGAAATGCATGGTGCGACTTAGTAGTATACTAGTATATAGTATTTGATGACGTCTATGACTCAAACTCACTGTCAGAATATTAAAATATTGTGAGCAACTATTTTGATAATATCAAAGTCTCCAGAGTTCAAGACTCAAACAAGTAACAACTCAAACTCAATAGTCAATGGTAGAAAGTCAATATACTCAATACCAAGATAATAGATATATTTAAGCTTGCTCAATACTGAACTTTAATGATTTATAGTCTACAATCTGCATAATTAATTACTGTAGATACATGAAAATTTCACTGAATGTTTATATTAGCATTTCCTATACACCATACAATTTTGAAAATATTTTGACTCTTTTTGAGCTGTTTACGGACATTTTTAGTTTTCTATTTTTTTTTTTTTTTTTCTATGAATACCAATAAAGTTTTATCTGTTGGGCCATTGATTTTATATATTATAAAATCAATGGTTGGGCCAAGAAGTGTAAAAATGTAATACAAGGCTTCTAATGTATTGTTACAACAGCAGTTGAAAAAAATATTAAAAATACGTAGACACAAGTTTTTTTTATATGCATGCATTTAAAGATCGAATTTTGACAAAATTTATCAAATTTAAAATTGAATAATTATTTTGTAGTTAAAAATGTATAAAATGTTCAACTTTTATATCTAAGGATTGAAAATTTAAAACAAGATTCCACGTAAGTAGTTAATTCTGTTACCAAAAAATCTGAAAAATACATAAGCACAGTTTATTTTTATAGTAATTTTAAGTTCAACTTTGGACAAAATTACATTAAAAAAAACCTAGAATAATTATTTTAGTTATTTTGTTGTGATTGTGTTATATTATTCGTGGGTACTTGAAACTTCTAAAATACACTATTATATACCTATGATAGTATCAGGGTTATTTGTTGTTGATGAATAATGCGTTATAAGTACCTAATGGATATTGTGATATGATTAATTTGGAATTTATTATAGGTACCTATTATATTTCAATTTTTTTTAATACCATTGATACTTATATAATATGTCTTATACCTAGAGTCTAGACTGACATGCCGTCTCCGCTCAGAATCGTTTTTCTTATGCAATGATATATCATTGAATTCAAATTTAACACCATCCATTATATAGTGACTCACTTGTAACCAACTGTACAGCAGGTCAAATTTTTAAGCCCGAGTCTCCTGCCAATCACATTTCTTGTACAAATGTTTTTATCCATTAGATCAACATATTGCCAGGGAATATAATCTGCTCTTCTAGGTTAATAAACTGTGTGCAATGCACCTTTCAAACTGCTTAGTACTATATAGTTAAATACACATTTTTCAATAATTGCATAGGTAGGTAGCATTTATTTTGCGTTTTATGCAATATTTTAGTTAACACTATCAGTGACAAATTTAACCTTTTTTTATTAACTTTTGCTGTGAAAATGTTTTAGTTTTATTGTTTTACCCATCATTAATTCAAATTAACCTATTTTAATAAACAAACCAGTGATCTTTTAATTATTTTAAAAAGCTCATGTATATTATAAAATAACAATTAAAAAATATATTATCAGCATGCCTGTACTCTATAATTGGTTTATGGTTATCAAGTACAGCTTTCTATAGTAGTACTTAGTAGTATGTATGTGTATATTGTATATTTCAATAAATGTAAATTTTTTTTTGTGGGTCCCTTTTTTTAGGGTTATATTATAAACCCTCTTTGTCTGGTATTTCCATTATGCGGGTGCTGACAGGCCATGAAAGTTTTCAAAGCTATCTTCCCTGAATGGGCAGGGCTAGGAGCGGCCATTGCTGACTATTAGCATCCAAAGATTGTGAAACATAGCATATACATACTGGCGTCTGCTAAGGATAGCCGCCTGGCTTCTCGAGAAACAACCACCGTGTATTCTTAATTCTTTTAAGTTTCAATAAACATTGAATGGTGGTGCTTGTAAGAAGTAATGCTAATACTTCCCCTCCCCCCCCCCCAATAGGTTTGCAGTTCAAAGGGAGAAAAAGGAATAGGTATAATATAATATTATTAGATTTTAGAACAAACTTAATTTTTAAATATGTAGTTTGTTTCTCTTTAAATAGGTACCTGTATAATATATTTAAACACTCTAAACTAGTTGTTTTTTTTATTATTATTAGCTTTTAGTCAGTTACTATGAGTTATGACAGCTTGACAAATATTTTAAATAATATAAAACTACTACAATAGAAAAATAAAACAAATACAAATATTGAATAACAAAACCAGCTTCCAATACTAAATTCATTTTTTTTTTACTATAATAATTATAACAATAATTTACCTAAAAGTAAATGGTTCAATTTGAGTTTTAAACTAAGTACCTATACTGTGGGCTGGGCAATATCTATGAAGCAAGTGTAACTATATAATATTATATATTTTTGGATTTTAACTAGTCTATTTTAGGGCTTATGCCCCCTCCCCCATCCCATCAATATAATTAAATTATAATTATAGACTTATAGTATAATGCCGGCCCCAGTGACAAAACTAGTGGAGGCATAGCCCTCTCCTGACTATGATTTACCCCCCTCACAAAAAAAAAATATATCCCTTATTGATTTAGATATAACCCCTCTATGGGTTATTTTAAATTAATAGTTTTGTAAGGGGCTATAGCCCCCCAGCATTTCAACTCTAGTTGCGCCTATGAATGACCCTGCATAAATTATTAATTTTGAATAAGAATTATGAATTTTAATATATTTAATAAAACTTGTGAAACATGTCAAAGATATTGTACCTTTTTAGTTTTTACACATAGGTATCCGTTCTCCCTTCATTTAAATTTCTAAGATTGGAGTATCTTGTTTAGAAACTAAAAATTAATATACCTTATAGACTTTTTTTAGGGTATCTTGCCCAACCCTGTCTGTACTGAATATGTTTTTAATAATATTTTGTATTTTATAACAAATAGAATAATATAAATATTTTAAATCAACAAATTTACAAAAAAAAAAAAATTATTTGATCTTGGTCAGTTTGATATCAGGTAATGATTCTGGTCTCAAAATCAATTGTGCGCTTATTTTAATGTCATCTTGACTTCCTAACGTCTCAATTTTCATCTTTCTTATAACAGTCGATATTATAGTTTTCATTTGATGCATGGCAAATTTTTGTCCTAAAAAAAATAATTTGTAATATTAAAAAAAATTAATATATTTTAATATTATTTATATATAAATATCATTAATTACCAATACAGTTTCTTGGACCAGCACTAAATGGTATGAAGGCATAAGGATGTCTATTGATACTGTTTTCAGGTAAAAATCTATCGGGATCAAATGTCAAAGGGTTTGGAAAATGTTTTTCCTCGCGATGTAGTAAATATGGTATTACTACAACTACTGTCTGTGGTGGTATATCATACTCTTCTTAAATTTTAAGTAAATAATTAAAATAAAGTGAATGATAATTGTGAAAATAATATCAGCAAAATATATGTATTTATTATTATACAACTTACTTATGTGAAGATGTTGTCTAAGCATTCTGGTAACACTAGGAACACTTGGGTATAGTCTTATAGTTTCCTTTATTACTCGATCTAAATATGTCATAGATTTAAGGTCTGCCATAGTAGCTTCTCTATCACTGTCTCCAAATATTGAATATAATTCTTCTCTTGCAGAGTTCTACAGTACAGATTAATTTCATATAATATCATTAAAAATAAATTAAGCTAGGCTTGTAGAGTATTGTCTAATTTACTTGGATATCTTGATTCAATCCCAATTGTATGAAAGCCATTGTCATGGCAGTTGACGATGTGTCATGTCCCTCAAATAGGAAAGTGTCTACTTCTTCTCTAATATCCATGTCTGTCATTTTTTCTGGATTTTGTTTTGATATTCCAATTAGAAGATCAAGAAATGATTCTACTCGTTTTTTCCCTGTAAATCAACCCTCGGGTATTAAATTATATTATACTTCTGACTTTTGACATGAATAAGTATTATTTTTAATATTAATAGGGACCTAAAATCAAATTAATTAACTTTTTTGCTGTATTTATAATGAAACTATTAAAAATAAATGTATTCTTTAACT